GTTCACATCAACTAATGCCTTTATCGCGTCTTTATCAGCTTCAACCGGCCTTCCCGAACGTGGTGCATCTTCGACATCAAAATTGCCGGATCGAAATTTAGCGAACCAGTTCTGGTACTGGCGTACTGTCAACACACCTTCTTCATACACATCAATCAATTTCATTCTGGCTTGAACAGCATTTTTACCCTTTCTGTAGTAAAACAGTAAGATATGTCGAAAATGCTGCTTATCGCTCTCCATATTTAAAAGGGCACCAACCAAAAACTACTGCGTAGAATTAATTGGAATTTTTCACACATAAGCCTTGCTATATGAGCTCCCTGTGAAGTTGGGTGCAAAAGAATACAATTAAATCCTCTGTCGGGAAAAAACGAAATGACTTTCCGAACAACCCTATAGTACGTGTTAAAATAAACATTAGTGTGTTACGATTATTTTGTTTCTAAACATGGGCGCTCCTGGGTATCAAAAAAAGTCACCGACGTGAAACCTTAAACGCAGTATTAGCACCTTTCAAAAGCGGCAGCATCAGCAGTGGTATATTAGTAGTCTCTTCTTCCTTGGGTTTCTTGAAAATCGTTTCGTTTTGGATGCTTGCGTCGGACACTTTGAAATTGCCAGATGTTAATTCGAATCAGAGAACCCGTCTGGCAGTCTTTTGATATTTAATACCTCGAATTCTAAAACGTCTTCGCGACCGTATGGAAATGAACATAGTAAAAGACACTTCGCAATGTCATCTCGGAAAGCAAAGTATAAAAACACTTACGCTATTTACTAGAAAAGACATGCGAAGAGAAAGACCGTAACTGATTTGCCGCAATTTGTCCAGTTACTTGGCAATAATAATAAAACTGGCTGACATCTGGATCAGTTTTATTTTCTTTTTCGGTTGTTTTATATCCTAAAGCTAACGGGAGCGTGTTTTCTAAATATGTGCAAAATTGAAGCTACACGAACTTCAAGAAGTTCAATAAAATTTTAATAACAGGCGATCTCAGTTAAAGGTGGTGCATTAGTCATGATGTCTATTCGTTTATTGGTAAATAAAAATTATTTTCAATCACTGGGGGTTTATAATTTCACTATGATCAAAAATATAAATTGTTTTGGTTGACAAATATATTTTATAAAAAAACTCAAAATACGTATCTTCAAAACTGCATATAAATTATAAAGAAAAAATCGGTTGTCTGTAAAGCCGGTTTACTGACGATAGTTGAACGTGACAACGTCATAAGAAAATACTGATGGAATGGTTTCATTTTTCAAAAGAAAATTTTAATTTTATTTGTTTGATAGATATTTTGTATGGATATAGAGAAGGAGGTAAATGGAAATGTATTATTGTACAGCAGCTGTCCACGCGGACGCATCGCTCACTCAAGTAGGAGAGAGACAGATGTCGAACGCCTCTTTGTCGCTCTTTCCGCGCTCTCGTTTGCACTTCAAGCCTTAAATGGAACGCCTCAAAGCGAGGTAACGCCGCATGAGTCATGTTTTTTCGTGCGTGCAGCCGGCTCCATCGAATTATAAGACGTTGTCACGTCAAAATTAATGCAAATTTGTCCTTCGATATGGACTACCTAAGATTATTGAAGGACTTAATAGTAAGCGTGTCAGACACGGAACTCCAAAAATTGACTTGACCAGTATTTCCTTCCTGGGGATACACATGAAGTATACTTTTAACACACACATCTCGCCTAAAGTTTGAAACCAATAAAATTGAAAATTGCCAACAATTTAATATCAAAGCATTAAACAAATTTTCACTGATAAAGTTTTAAGTGACGAAAGAAAAAACAGCGCTTTCTACGAATATTTTATTATTTACAGGATTTCTTTACATTATAAGTTCCTATCAGTTATGTACCTAAGCATAATTTATTATACACAAAATTTCATCTAAATACATCTCTAAAACGGTAACGTTACACTTGATAATAATGTTTTAATAAACGATATTCCTTTGGAGCATGGAAGCCTAGCACTGTTGCAGTTAAAAATGAAAAAGTTGTAAAAAAATATTTGTAACAGCTACAGACAGTACTCCTTCAATTTTATTAGTGCCTGTGGCCGCGGCAGCCTGCGTGAATCATACATATAATATTATGTATATTTGATATGCATTTTATGAGTTATTATTTGAGTATTTTATTCAACATTAACAAAATACTATAATGTAAAGTATACGTAAAGCGTTGGAGATGAATAAAGAATAAACATATCTATAGTGGGACTATTGAAAACTAGTTAAATATTTGGCAATTCCCTTTAACCCTTTTTAGTTGTCGTTTTCACCATAAGTTACAGGTACAATTTTTCTAGTTCTTCATTGTCTAAACTATAGGTACTACCGATTAAATTTCGCATATCTTGTACAAAAAGTGACAGAGGCAGTAAATAAAACGAAAAAAAAAATGATTCTGATTTATTAAATGTTTGTGTGAAGATGAAGACAAAAATGTGTGCAAGGGAAGAAACATTAGGGATGAGCGAATATAAAAATAGTAGATGAGAAATTAGAAGAAGTGGCTGATTTTTGATATCTAGGAAGTCAGATAACTCAGAATGAAAGCAGCAGTAGAGATATAAAACATCTCTATTTCCGCGAACGGTTAATTTAGAAATTCGAAAAAGATTGTTAAAGGTATTTCTGGAGTGCGGCGACCCTAGTCAAAAATTCTCAGTCTTTCAGCGTCTCTGACAGCGTCTCTCACAGTATTTCACAGTCTCTCAGTTATTGCCTAGGTGTTTTTATGGATCTCTCACAGTCTCTGTACGAGAGACTCGAACGATAAAATTGTTAATTCAGAGATTCGAGTCTCTCACAGAGAGACTGAATGAATAAAACTGAAAAATTGAGAGACTCGAGTCTCTCGTAGAAAGACTGGGATCTCTGAAATATGTTGAACTTCGAAAATTTTAACCATGTCTATCGAGACACCACTTATTGAGAGATTCGAGTCTCTCTTTCAGAGACTGGATACGAAATGAGGATCTCTCCATGAGCGACTCGAGTCTCCCCTTCAGAGACGCTAAACAGTGTTTTTGACAGCCTCTTGACAGTCTCTCTCTCAGCGCCAGCAGAGAGACTCGACGAGAGACGGAGTCTCGAGTCTCGCTTTCAGAGACTCTGAGAGACTGAACATTTTTATCTCGGGAATGTACGGGTGCGAAGCATGGACGGTGGGCGCGGCGAAAAAAAAAATGTTAGAAGCATTCGAAATGTAGTGTTAGAGGCGAATGATGAGGATACCGTGGATAGAGAAGGTGACAAATGAACAGGTATTGGACAGAATAGGAGAACAGAAGCTCTATGGAAGTCAAAAAATGAATAGGCGAGATAGGTTGATAGGACACCTTCTCAGGCATGAAGGTCTAGCCAGAGACATATTAAAGGCAGGAACGGGGGTTAGGAGGGGTAGAGGTAGACCTAGATTATATTATTGCTCGCAAATAGTTAAGGATGTGGGTTGTTCTAGTTTTAGGGAAATGCGAGAACTGGTTCAAGATAGGAAAGAGTGAGTGAGTTAATGATGATTATCAATGTCTAAATTATAAGTACTACCGATTAAATTTCGCGTATCTTGCACAAAAAACAACAGAGGTAGTAAATAAAACGAGAAAAAATAAGAATGTCAACTTGTAATTTATTTCATTTCATGTAAATTCTGGTAGGTACTGATATTTGTGTAAAAAATTTGGTATTTTCGCTTTGGTTCCATGCAATAATAATAATAATAATAATAATTTCATCAGTCGTCATTTTCATTCTATTCAAGGGGAAAATGTCCTTTTTCAAGAGCCCAAGTTGTGCGCGTGATTCGTCAAATGAAAGTACGGACTGTATCCTCCAGAGCTGGTTGTCTGGAGCGGGTACACGCTACCGTATGGCATATGGTGGGCATAAAGAAGCCCCGTGTGTGTATGGTGACTAGAAAAACCGCCGAAACCTGCAGTCGATCCGACATTAGGAGGTGGAACGGTCGGTGAATTGACGTCCATGCCAGGATTTTGCTTTTTCCATTTCGTCCTTCTGTTTTGGAACCATATTTTCACTTGCGTTTCGGTTAGACTTAAGCTAAGTGCCAAATTCAGTCGTTCGCATACGCTCAGGTAACGGGTAGTTTTGAATTTGTTCTCCAACGCGACCAACTGTTCGTAAGTAAACGCGGTCCGGGCTCTTCGGGGTTTTCCCGTGTTTTGCGACTTCGAATCGCTCTTTTTCTTTTTTGAGCTTGGATCTTTAATGTCTTCGCTAACGTCGCTTTGGATTTCGTCATCTTCATCCGACTGATGCTCCTTTCCTGAAAGAAACCCTGTTTCAAAAATTGAAGAAAATATATTTGTGATGAGATAGGTACCTAAAAAACAAAACAAAACAAAGGTAGAAGCGAATTGGAAATTTGATGCATTTTTGATTTAAAGGATTAGTATCATCAATAATAAAATCGTCTCATGTATTAGACAGTGGTTCAAAATTGAAAACTCATCTCACCGAAGTAAAAGCACTTCTAGACCTCGGCCATCAAATTCATCATGCAGGCAACGTTGGTCGTGAAAACCTAATAGTTCTTTTTCATCAGTTTATCAGTATTAAAAAAAAGAATTTTTGAGCGTTTAAGATAATATTATCTGATATACTTATGCTCTTCTACGCAAGGCATGATGAAGTTAGCTAGTTGAGTATAAAATAGCTGCTGCGGAAGCTTTTCGTTTTTGTCAGTTAATATACGAGGGTGGATTGATAAGTTTCCGGCCTAACCAAGAGATGACGCCACTAGGCCTACCTTGAGGTGACATTCTATAGTACCATCCTTGGATAGCTTGTAGCTATAGTTTCAGCCCGATCTCCTTGCTAGTGTAGGTTTGACAGCACGCTGAACAAGACGCCTCTGTGGTTTTCGTAAAAATGGAAAAGCAGGAAAATCGT